ATTCTCCTGACAAATGGCTTAGGCCGGTCAAGCAGGTTTTCTTTTGATTCCCTGAGAGTTACATTTTGCAGGCAGGCAGAAATGGGAAACTGTTTTTAAAGTACTCTTTCACTGTAAAAGTTTAATAATCTGTGCAGACATCGCAGAATGATTTTCCTGGTGGATTTACTGAAATACGGTTACACTCCTCCCTGGAGATGAAGAGCATTTTACCTTCAGGACAACATGATGCATTTGGAGACTGTCTGTGAAGGTCACATGTAGAACAGGACAGAGTTGGGTGGCCCATGTCAGGCTGTGAGATCTGTGCACCTCAGTCTCCGATTTCAGTGAAGCCCTGAACAAAGTATCCCAAAAGTAGAACAGCAGTTTAAAGGTTGTCAATTCCACAGATCTTAAAACCCATTGTAGCCACGCTCTGGCAATAAAAGCCTGAAAATCTGAAGTTATGTGATTATGAGTTAGGCCGTGTCTTATATTTCCAGTCTTGTTTCCTATTGGAGTGTCCATTCATTATACACATGAAAGGAATAGTATATTTATTTCAAAACTGTAAAATCTTTCCATATTTTGAGGCAAACAGTAACACGTGCATGCGTGTTGTTCTGTGATGGGAAAAATGACCCAGACAGCAATAAAACTCCACTCAAACATGCTCCCTCAAACATTCTCTTAAATGTACAGTGGTGCCTCAGTTCACAAACTTGGTTCTTTCCCCAATTCCAATCACAAACCAAATCAGACAAATCAAATTCAGTGGTTGGGTTCAACATTGACTTTACGGGGAAATTTGATTTTGTCTAAGTATGAACTGAAGAGTTGTAGAAACAATTACATCATGTGAAAACGATAACTTTAATCTCTATTATGTTTTCCTGCCTCGGGGTCAGTGAAACCCTTCGGAGCACAATATCAGCCTTCAAGGGGACCAAGCAGCCATGGGTCAGCGCAGACACTGGCATCAGTTAAAGAAGAGAATCCAGGTGGTCTCTAGACCTGCGAAGGTGCAGCTCATTTCACAGGAGGCACACAGCCATTGCAGGCGATGCAATGAGCCCTGCTCCCCATTTAAAATCCTGACTGGAGCCAAGGTTTATCTTTCAGCACCCAGCCTGAACAAGTTCAGACACGGGCTCCCCACTCTGACTCATTGGGCTTTCTCTATTTTCCAGTAAATTTCCTTTACAAGGGACAGAATAGGCCATAGACATTGGACGTAAGGTATAAAAACGCCTGTGTGGAAAGAACTTCAGGACACCAAATGTCTATGTTATGTGTAACTACAAAGTTGCGGGCTTAGGGTTGGACACTGGATTTAACTCCTCACTGGCCCTGCCAATTGTGACATGCACATTCTCCCCCTGGAAATGCTGCTTGACACGGCACTAGACACATGTCACAATTTTCATAAAGCTTAAGTTGATGATAATTAAGCTCAGTAGATAATGTGGGTTCTCCCTTCCCCCTGCCAGTGTGAAAACAGTGAGTCTCAAAGCCATTGCCACCTGGAACTATGGGCAGGACAGCACACATACAGAAAAGTCTACTGAATATCACTGCCATCTCCATAGAAAACAACAATTTTTCTTTAAAAAAAATAGAATAGATGTTCATTAGTAAGTTATCGGACTTCTATGGTAAAGACATTTTCTATAGACCAGTAGCCAATGGCTAATTCTGTTCAGCAAACTGCATAGGAATGGAAAATATGTTTATACTCAGATTATCTTTCTGCCAAAAAACTAGAAGAAACCTCAGGAAAGTTTTCTGTTCAATGACAAAAACCCATCATGCCAGGCCTGGTGGCACACGCCTGTGATCGCAGCACTTGGGAGGCTGAGGCAGGAGGATCACCATGAGTTCAAGGCCATCTTGGACTACAGTGTGAGAATGAGTTCGGGGCCAGTCTGAACTACATAGTAAGACCCCGTCTAAAGAAAAAAAGCCTAATGGTGGTGAAAAATTCTAAATAGTCTCCATCATCTCACCTATCTCTAATATTCTATGCTTTCCTGATTTCAATTGGAAGGTCAATAAGCTTGAAATTGCTTTTAGTGTTTCTTTCCGATTTCTGGATATTATTCACTTAGAGATAATCTTTGAAAAGAAGCGATGGTGATGTCGTTTACGCCTTTCATTTTACCCAGGAAATTGTTCTCTTAACCAGAAACCAAATGACCTTCCTAGTTAGGCAGCCAATGGGCAGTATTTATGGCATTTATGGCCCTATTTTCAGGTCTTTTTGATTGATATCAGCTATTGCAAGCTGGAGACTTATAATGCATTGAATAATGAGGTGGCAAAGTAAACAGACATAATATTTAAAAACAAAACCAAGCAGATCGCTTTTTTCTTCCTTTATGATCACCTTGGGTTTTAGAAGAAATACCTGAGGTATGAGAAAAGAGATTGTAAGACCCAAGTTTTCTGGTTAGGCAGCCAATGGGCAGTATTTATGGCATTTATGGCCCTATTTTCAGGTCTTTTTGATTGATATCAGCTATTGCAAGCTGGAGACTTATAATGCATTGAATAATGAGGTGGCAAAGTAAACAGACATAATATTTAAAAACAAAACCAAGCAGATCGCTTTTTTCTTCCTTTATGATCACCTTGGGTTTTAGAAGAAATACCTGAGGTATGAGAAAAGAGATTGTAAGACCCAAGTTTTCTGGTCAAGGTGGTCTCCCTCTTTGACCTTTACTCAGAATATAAAGATCAGGTTTTCTGGGCAAACAGCTGTAAAAATTCCACTCTGTATAACAACCTCCTCCCTGTTTTTTTGTTCCTCTTTTTCTAACCCAAGGATAAACCTATCTTCTTCCCGATAGTTGCTTAAGATAGTTAGAAAATCATATGTTTAATCACATGCTTTGTTAAATATAATAATTGACTAATCAAATGTTCTTTGGAAAAAGGAACTTGGCCCTTCGAACCTCCCCTCCCCTAGGTATTAGCAATTTCCAGTAAGCACCCCAATAATATCCAATAGTAATCAAAAGATAAAAATAGCATCAATAAAAAGGGAAAGCCTCCCCAACCCTATATAATCCTGCTTCAAAAATGGGTCAGGACTCTCATTTTCTGATCCGCTCAGTCGGTGAAGTACAAGGGTCCAGGCTCGAGCTTGGAATAAACTCCTCATGTAATTACTCCTTGGTGGTCTTTGGGAATATCGCAATCTGGGTACAACAAGATCTCTGGGAGCATCGTGCCTATGGAAGAGAACTCAGGCATCGCAGATAGATCTCTGGATGGACATCCAAAGACCTGGCCCTCTGCAGAGTCCAGAACCTCATTCAACTCCACTGTCTGTGACAGTGTGTGTGTGCTCTGTCAGCTTCCCTGTCCAGTTCTCCAGTGCACTGTGATCACCTTCAGATCAGCTGCCTGCCCGCCGTGCCTTGGGACTCAGTACAATGTTGGCCTTATTGAAAAGACAGGCCAACAGATGATCACTGGGCAATATGCCCAAGAAATACCAGCCTCCTCTCTCCTGAGAAAGTTGTAATTGTTGCCCTGACACTATCATGCCTCATGGTTTCTTAAGGCTGCCACCAACCTGCCCTTGTCTAAGGTACTATGGCCCAGGTGCTTCTCTCCTGCTGACATGCTCCTCTCGGCCAAGGTGACTTGGTTGCTACCCTGGTTGGTCCCATAGAGAGAAAAGAGTTCAGGTGAGGAATTAGAAGCCAGTGGCTGGATGTCAGTTGGCTGGATGTCATGCCCGGGATGATAGCGTAAGCCTCTTGTGCTGTAGAATGTGTTCCGTACTAAAGAATATTTCCATAGTCTGCTAGGGGAGCCTGATTCATAGTTTGTCCATCAACCCTTGAAAATTCTGACTCATTATGCATGCTATTCTGTTTAACAACTGGGAAATTTCAGCAATAGAGGCATTAATAGCCTGATTAGGTCTTCCTAAGTATCTACACGTATTCACTGCCTCAAACATCTCCGTGCAGTTAGTCAGGGCTCTGCACCTGAAGGTATGGTCCACTACCAAAGCTACTAGCTGAATCCAAAAATGCATTCTGGTTTTTGTAAAAAGCTGTGGGGGCATCAAAGAGGAAATGATTTCCAGTCTACAACCACTACAAGAGGTTCTTGCCCATTCCTCATTCTTAAGTTGGGGGCTTTGGGTTGCTTTCTGTAATATACACACTACCCAGTTAGAAATGTAGAGCACGGCTCAAGGTGATACTGAGAACATACAAGTCTCACCCTGTCCCTTGTTAGGCAGGCTTGCCCTTCTCAGGTAATTTCCCTCCCAAGAAAGGAAGAGCCAAACAGACGAGCTAGCATCCATTCTTTCCTGATTGCAGTTGTTAAAATCTCAGTTGTTTCCCTCGGCAAACTTACATTTCTTGTGTGTTCCACTTCCGGTGATAACGCTTGGTTTGCAAGCCAGTCATTTTTTTAATTTGCTTTCCTCTCTGTTTTCTCAAGTGAACAGTTATAGGAGCATTTAATCATTAGAATTGAGAGAGCTAAGAAAAGGGAGGCAGCATCCCGGGCACAGCCTCTCTCTTCCCCCTCATGCCAGCTCTTGATAACCCAGGGCACAGCCTGATCCCAGAGGTAGCTTCTCACTGAGTGGAGTAAGAGGAATACACAGCCGTGCCTACCTCGTCCTCAGAATGGGCATATTCTGCTCCACCGCTCTGATCTTATCATCTGTTGGAAGTTGAGCAGGATAAGGTTGCTGTTGACACACAGGCTGTGTGAGAGTCACGTCTAAGCAGTGCCCTGCAAGAGAAGGCCTACAGACATGCAAACCAAAATCATTCACAGGCTACACAGCGTCCCCTCACACTACATACAGTGTGGGCTGGAGACACCTGTGGGCAGGAGGCATGTGGTACCTTGGCTGGCTCCCAGGACCGAGGCATTCCTGGTGTGACTGGTGGGAAAATCCATGGTAAACCCGAGATCAGCTCGAATGAACAACTGCAGTCCTTTCTGTAAGTTTATATTTCTTCATTATTCCTAATTCACAGAATGCCAGTACTGGGGTGCGGAGCTCCAGCTTCCTACTCTGGATTTTGAAGATGTTTTAAAAAATGATGAAGATGCGTACAAGTGGCTTTCCACCCTCAAGAAAGTGGGCATCGTGCGCCTCACCGGGGCAGCTGATAAACAAGGAGAAATCATGAAACTCGGCAAAAGGATTGGCTTCCTCTATTTCACATTTTATGGGTGAGTCAGCAAATGGACTGTGTACAGTCTGACGTATTCCGGTAATGATATCCCTTTGACTGAAAACAGAGAAATTGTCCACAAAGCCATCAGCAGGAAGTCACAGGGAAGGAACAGTGTGACAGTAGTATTTCTCTGAGAGCGACTGGAATTTTCAATGCAACAAAGACATGAGGCTAATTGTAGGTGGTGTATTAGTTTATTCAAACTGATTTGAACAAAGGACACTTACTTTCTCACAGTTCTGAAAACTAGAAGCCCAAGATCAGGGAGCCTGAGGTTAGTTTCTGGCGAGGTCAGTTGTCCTAGCCAACCGACCTCCGTCTTCTTCCTGTCCCTGTACGTGGCCTTTGTCTACACAGCACACTCCAGCTGACTCTTTGTCCTCTTCAAAGACACCAGCCTTACTGTGCCAGGACCCCTTCCTTACCACCTCCTCTACCCTAACCAGGCCTTATCTCCTAGGACACAGGGAATTGGGGTTTCAGCAAATGAATTTCAGAGAACACAATGCAATCCGTAACAGGTGGGATAAGAGATTGCATTTCTCCAAGACTTTAAAAAAATATCCAACTTCATAAACGTGAGAGTGTATTAAAGCTTTACCATTCAAGAGTTGGCACAAAATAAAGTAAGATTCTGAAGGACTGAAACCAACCACCAGAGGTGTTAGAAAGATTAAACTAGCCAAGTGTGGCGGCACACACTTGTGATCCCAGCACCAGAGAGGCTGAGGCAGGAGGTTCACCACAAGGCGGGCCTGGGCTATATAATGAGACTCTGTCTCAAAACAAAACAAGGTTAAACTAATATCCCGAAAGTTGAGGCTATTGGCTACAGTAAGTTACAGGAAATAGAATTAATATCAACTTCAAAACAAGGACCTGTTTTCACAAGAATTGCTGAGGCAATACCATAAGTTATAGATAGAAAAATACTAACAACAGGAAAACCATTTGCTGAAGTCTCCGCCTCATCCTTCCTAGCATCTGAGCACGCACCCAGCAGGTAGAGAAAGGCTTTGTCTAAAACAACCCAAAGATTGGAAACGTTCAGTCATCTGCCTTCCGTAACTTGAGCAAGTCACTCCTGGCAGAAAACTTGGATGACTGAGACCCCACCCACACCCTGAGAATCTATTTCTACCATTAGCAGATTTCTGTTTTGTGAAATGTATGTGTTTCCTCCACCTAAAAGACCGTGCATGCTTCGAAATGACAGCAATTCCAACAGACAGAAAACATATTCGAAATTATAAGAGCCTCCGGTGTATTATATGTTCTTTATTTCTTACAAGATCTTTGAAATACATACTGTTCTCCAGTTCACAGAAAGACACTGGAACCTAATGGATTAATTTGTAACCTAAGTTCTCACAAGTAGTAATTAAGGAATGAAAGTATAAATCCAGCTTTCCTGCCCATCTTTCTGTCCCATTACTAATGACTTGAAGAGAGTACAGGAAAAGCCGCTCTTGGGCACTAGAACTAAACAGAACCCTTTAAAATACATTTATTTTAAGTTGTTTGACTTATCTTTTACTTGCTAATGATGAACTTTCTGCATCTGTTCCAGTGTGTTTCACAATTTCATAACACTGACCAAATTCTGGGGTTCTGTTCTGGAGTTCCCTAACTCCACCTACCACACATCCACTCCACTGAGGGTCAGAAACTTAATCCTGATTTATGATTTTGTTTTGTTCTGTTTCTACAGATCCTTAAAATAGGCCGATAACTTGGCCACTGAGCTAATGTTGTGAAACTTATTGGAAAAAATACTAAAGGTCTGTTATTGAAACAATCAGACTTCCTTACTCCTGTTGCATTTCCTTCATGCATGACCTTCCCTTCTGACCAGACATTCATCCCACCCCGACTGTCTCACCTTCCTCGGGTGGGCACCCTGTCATCCAGAATCTCCAAGTACACACATGCCAGAAATGCCTTTGCTGCCAACTGGCCAACTCGCACCACTGATTACTCAAATCTCTCCTTTTTGGGCATTTTTTTTTCTTTTTTGGTACCAGGGATTGAACTCAGGTCCTTGCACCTGTGAAGCAGGTGGCGGAACCACTGAGCTAAATCCCAGGCCCTTGTTTTTTGGACAATTTTTAACCCTCTCCCTTCAGACCTTACAGAGAACAGCTTTGCTGGTGTGGCTATCACTGTTGTACTTGGCTTTTGGCATTGAGTGAATGGGCTGAGTGAAAACTTCCTCTGAGATCTCGCTCCTCCTGCTCCTCTTCATGTTCATGTTAGGATAAGGGAGCTCAGGGAACAGGGGACTTAAGAGGAGAAAGGGACAGTCTGAAGCCCTTAGTGCTCTGAGAGTTGCCTCCAACGGTGGGTCCCAACCTAAGCTACGTCCTAGAGCAGCGACTTTTGAGTACACTGACATCTGCAGATTTCCTCTAACGGGGCTGAATTTGACTGTGGGGAACAGGGAAAGGGGACGTCACTAGAACCTCTGCAGGAAGTCCTAGTCTCCTGCCAACCATGACAGCACAGGGTGAATTAGCTTGTTAGACAGGAAAGATAGAAAAAATGAGACGTAGAGAAGAAGCTGAGCTTTGGGCCTGATCAGTGCTGCTCTGGGCAGTGCAAGACCCCGAGCTTGCCACACCTTTATCCAGTCCATATGGAGAAAACAAATGGAACAGGTGACTCAGAGCAGAGCACACAGGACATCGGGAGCCGAGTAAGAAATGTAAAGGTCGCCCTGATGGGGGCAAAATGGAATTACGTCTCGATATGCCACGGCTGCCCTACAGGCAGGAGAACTAGGCCTAATCAAATCCCAGTATTTGACCTGAGTATCGAACTCAGCAAATGACTATGCAGCCAAAGCCCGGAATCCTGGCTGGGAGGAGGGATTCCCAAGGCAGGCAGGCGGCTCACGGTTCGGGGAGAACTTGGGTGCCAGGCATGCCGTGTCTGTGCCGGACATCCCGGCGCAGTGCACGCGAGGCATTTCTTGTGCTCTCCTGTGTCCCTTCCATCTGGGCGTCAGTGGTCTGCTCCACACAGTCTACTGCTGCTTTAAACAAAGTTCTCGCCTTTCAGATCTTTGATTCTACGCTTTGCAAAATGTCTTACTCTTGCCTCAAAACGCATGGTCGGCAATTGAGTAAAGGAACAAATAAATGAAGGCAATGGGTAATGGTCAGACGTGGAAGATGGGGCAGGGAAAGGAAAGTAGAGGCATCATGAAGGTGAACCTGCTGTTCGTGCGGATTTATCCAGGAACTCTGCGACAGCTTTCGCTGAGATGCCAAAAATAGTAATTTCCGGTTGTCGGTGCCTCCTCGATGTGCCTGCTCCAGAATGGGATAGCCCCAGTACTTCCCATGCACGTGGAGTCACTTGTACAGAGATTTTATCCACCCGGCTCCAAAATGATAAACGAGAATAGTGTGGGCGCTTTTAGTTCTTGACCGTCCCCTCCCTTGTTAAGTGGCTGGGTGGGAGAACGAAAACCAGCAGATTCCAGAATCGCCTGTGGTCTCCGTGCATCGCAGGCCAGGCGGAGGCGGGAACTGACGCATGCGCAGACGCTTTTAAAGGACTGAGCAAGCGCAGGTGAAAGCAGCGACCCCTGTGGCCTTTCACAATCATAAACTGATGTTCAACTAAATCAAAGTGGCGATCGGCGTGAGGACAAGATAGCACTGTAGGAGGGTTTAGACCCTTGCTTTGGAGCAAGGTAGTTTTTACAGAGTGGAGCCAAAATGCCTCATTCCCCCACTGCCCTCCATCAATACCAATAATATTAATAGTAATAGTAACTTTCTGGAACACCTCTGGGAAAAGCGGTATTACTAAAGAAATCACCTGGATTTTACGGCACGATTTAACTCCATGGGAAATAGTCATTGCAGGCTCTGTTTTGTCAGCATGCTGTCATCCCCAGGGCACACATAAAGTCAGAATATTTGTGAGAATGTCCCCTGCACAGCGGATCCCAAAGAGACCACAATTACTGTCAAACAGACAGAGCATCTCCCTCGAACACCTGCCAGGGATGGGGCTGGGCATCTGGTCCTGAACTAGAACTGAATATTTACTTCACAGAAAATTATTTGGGGTGGCCACTGTTTGTGGGTGAAGGCAAATATTTTACTTGACTTCCCCTAAAACATTTGAAACAATAAAAGTTTGCTAAAATGCAAGAGGAGTCTGAAAGATAACCCAGACTCCGGGTGTCACCAGTGAGGTAACGTGACCGAGGGTCCCTGCTGCCAACAGTTCAGGGGGGTGGGTGTGCTCCCCCAATATGGTGCCAAATGCGGCCACAGTGGGGCAATACCCAAATAACAATACGGCCTTTAGAGAAAGTAAAAGCCAACTCATCAAACTGCATACATGCCACTGTCGTATTGTGGTGTGCATCGAGAAATATATATTGCTTAGGCCTGTGCATGCCGTGTCGTCCCTCTTTCCAGGCCCCAACCTCATCCCACGCTGACCCGCTCCATCCCCACCATCTGCTGCTCCTTCCCATACCTGTGAGTCCCCAGGGAGAGCTGATGAGAGGTGCTACAGCTGCTCAATGGTTTCTTAGGATTGTCCACTCCCTTCCTACTTAGTCCTTTTTCCTGCCTGCATCTGCCTTCTGCACCTTTTCTCCTGCTAACCAACAACAAATGTGACGATTAAGCTTACTTATTCACTTGACTGGCCCGGGAGCTGCCCAGGGGATTACTAAGGTACACTTTTGGGGACTCTATATGGCCCCGCCCCTCCCTCTCTGTGCTGTTCCCCTCCTCTGCTTCCTGGCCACCATGAAGTGAGCAGCTCAGCTCCGCCACACCCTTCCGCCACGGTGCTCCTGCCTTGGAGCCACCGACCATGGACTGAAAGCTCTCAAACTGTGAGCTAAGTAAACCATTTCTCCCTTTAAGACACGGATGTTGGATATTTGGCCCCAGCAACAGGAAAGCAGCACAGTACATCATGCCAGGACTTCCTCTGTTTGGGGATGCTCTTTGGCCTTTCTTG